AGGCATGTTGTAAGGCGTCAGGTAGATTAGGCATGTTGTAAGGCGTCCAGGGAGATTAGGCATGTTGTAAGGCGTCCAGGGAGATTAGGCATGCTGTAAGGCATCCAGGGAGATTAGGCATGTTGTAAGGCATCCAGGGAGATTAGGCATGTTGTAAGGCGTCCAGGGAGATTAGGCATGTTGTAAGGCGTCCAGGGAGATTAGGCATGTTGTAAGGCATCCAGGGAGATTAGGCATGTTGTAAGGCGTCCAGGGAGATTAGGCATGTTGTAAGGCGTCCAGGGAGATTATGTGAAATATGGATAGATAAATTTATCTTAAAAGCTTTTTTCTTGGGGGGGGGGGAATTACCTAACCACAGCCAATGTTTATTTTGGCATATGTAATTTCGAGATGAAACATGGAACGATTTGAAACTTTTGTTTTTTTAATGTGTTATTTTTTAACGAAACGTAATTAAAGACACATTTCAGGTTAAAATTAAGTCTTGATTTTGTCAACCTAGACGCACACGTACATTTAATCTGTATCAATTGATAAATAACCGCAAAGCATATAACACATTTCAGGTTAAAATTAAGTCTTGATTTTGTCAACCTAGACGCACACGTACATTTAATCTGTACCAAATGATAAATAACCGCAAAGCATATAACACATTTCAGGTTAAAATTAAGTCTTGATTTTGTCAACCTAGACACACACGTACATTTAATCTGTATCAAGTGATAAATAACCGCAAAGCATATAACACATTTCAGGTTAAAATTAAGTCTTGATTTTGTCAACCTAGACACACACGTACATTTAATCTGTACCAAATGATAAATAACCGCAAAGCATATAACACATTTGAGAGATAATGTTTTTGTTTTTGGTGTGTGTGTGTGTATATATATATCTAGGAAGTTGTTTGAGCTTAGCCGGTTGTATTGTAACAAATAGCACACTTACAATATACAAGGCTGGAGTTACTGTTGACATTATTTACTCAAACTTCAAACCCCTATTTTGGTTCCATGCTGTTACCTAGAAATACATTCGGTGGAGTCAAAATAGGGATTTGTAGTGTGAGTAAATAATGTCTACAGTATCTCCAGCCTTGTTTCCTTACTTTGTTTTACGATCCCTATTTGTAGGTTTTTAAATTCCCATTTTTTTATTTATCTTGTTTGTTGGCTTTTTTAGGCTCAACTATGGGCAAAGGATTACTTGATATGGTAGCTAATTTTAAACTTTGTAATGATAATAAACATAGCTAGTAGCTAGCTGATACGGTTCATGACGATTTACTGTAGCTATTGACTATTTGATCGCATTAGTTCAAGATGTAAAATATTAAGCTGCAGCTAGAGATTATCATAGAGATTTGTTTGAGAATATAGTGACCATTTATATTTTCTGTGTAACTAAATTATCTATATATAAAGCATAGCAATGGGCAAATATATGCCTAGACTAAGACACAACCCCCACTAAGCACGTATAAAATTTTACCAGCAGAAAAGCAACCTTCTCAAATAAAACATATACATCTAAAATATTTCATTAAATAACCCTTAGTGTATTTTTAACGTAATTATTCTATGAATGTGTGTAATATAATTTAATATTATGTGTATTGTTTTTTTTTACTTATTCACTTCATACATAACATAGGGATTGGCTCCCTAAAAACACCGATTATATAGCGTACAAAGCAGTGAGTATCTCCATGTTACAGTAATTTAATGTTCATTTATTATTGACTGGTAATTCCTGTTCCACCCTGTACTTAATATTTTTAAAGGAACACCCGGTATTTGAAGCAAGCTAATTTCAAGGGGTAATGATAACATCGTCTACACTAGAATTGTGATATTTTTTAGTTTATATAAAATACAGAAGAAACAAATCGACTTTTCAATACTCCTCCGACCTTCGCAGTACCTTACTTAGTATTCAACAAAAGGTTTGGGTGCAATATACCAAGCCGTTTTTGTTGTACACTGGCAAGAGAATAATAATAACGATAAGAAGAAGAAGATTTACGAACGGCTGTTTTGAACGGATTTTCTTTTCCTTGTAAGTCTAACATGTGTGCTTTTTTTGTTCATTTTTATATGTTTACAGCTTTAGCATTCAATAATAAAGGTTTTAAACTGTTGTTTGAATTGAATCTTTACTGTTTAAGACGCTTTTTCCCCGAACGTTCTATTAGGGTTTTGTGCAATTTCTTGCCATCCCTATTATGAACCGCTATCGAGTTTCATGATAATGCTACGAACGATTATATAATGAACTGGTAAATACATGAATTCTATAATTTGCTAAACGTAAACCATGTAAATTTTTGATAATTGTCTACTGACCTGTTAAACAACAACAACAAAAAAATCGATACCTTTCTTATGAAATTAGCTCGATATGATTCTTTCTTTCTTTCTATGAAATTATATCTTGGGTAAGTAATATAGTCCAGCATCTATCAAGTAAACTTCAT